ATGCACCTTCAAAGGCGTATACACAACTTTACTCTGCGTCTTATTCCTGACGAGGTTAAAGATGATATTAGAACCGTCATCCATATCGTCGCAGAATGATCAGCAGGCGTTGCTCATCCGCCTTCTCCATCCCCTGTCAATAGAACAACTGACAACCCGCCCCCCTCTTACCACGATGCAGTACCTGTACCTCCTCCTCATATTCCTAACGAGCTGTTGGCTGCTGTCAATAGTCTCACGCAAACCACGGAAGCCATGATTGCCGCTCTCAATGTAGAAAATCAATCCCCTCCCATAGAACAACAAATCATGCCACCTGTAGATGCCCCCATTGAAGATACTCCCCTGCCTAACACCTCCATCGAAACACAAAATCACCCAGAAAATCTTTATAAAGCATTCTCCGCTACCCATGAAGAAATAGAAGAGAACCCTAATGAGCAATACAGTATCTCTCTTACTACAAAATCAAAGATCTTTCAACTGCGCTCGAAGCACTTCATATTCATCCTCCAATGACCATTCCTAAATCATTATCCATGCATATGTTCAAGGATGGGATTGTCCCTGTTGAGATGCTAGGAGCAACTGTTCCTTCTACTCCTGCTGAGCTAATCGTGGAGGCGGAACGACAAGATGTCACCTGTAAGCACCCTGTCGAACAAAAACCACCTACCACTCTTCGAAAGAGGACACGTGGGCAGTCCTATAAAGGAAAAGGAAAGAAACGGGCTACTAGTGTGGACGAAGCATTAAGCCCACAACCTGGTCCCTCTCTGCTACGCTCCACCTCATCCAACCCAGATGAAAATCGAGTTTGCCGATACTGCAAAACTCTCGGGCATCATCAAGTACATTGCCCAGACTACTACTGCAGAGTATGCAGAGAGTTAAGTCCTGGACATCTTTCGTTCTATTGTCCTAGATATACGGGCAGAACACCTACCACTCTAACTTGGAAGGATGAGGGATTTTATACTGCATTAGCCCTCTGGGAAAACACCAGAGACGAGCAATACATTGCGCAGTGTCAGGAAGAAGAAGCTTTCTATCATTCTGAGCAATTGAAGGGAGATTCTGACGACTTGGATTATTCCGATGACCCCATTTACTACGCTAACTTAGATGATTAAAGTCGGTGACTTTATGCCTAGTAGGGGGGTAATGTTACAATCACGCTTTTCTTTCGCTTCTCTGTTCTCTTTGTCCGATAGTACGCTTTCCATTTATGATCATTTACCTTTCTTGGACTATGTACTTATATCTCACGACTACCTTGGTCCGTGTGCACATATTGACTTATTTAAGCACAAGTATTAGCCTTGTAGAACTTCACTTGAATCTTACTAGGTTTTACCAGAACTTCCTTCGCTTAAGACCTCCAATCTTAAGTTATCTGAACTAGTATTCTTAGTCAAAGCACTCCTTTGACTAAGTCTTTACAGAACCCCTTCTTTTCTGAAGGACTTCATGAAACTCAACAGCTAGAAACTCTGTCGAGTCGCTGTTGTTAGAACTACCCTAGTTCATAACATTGATGGACTCACACATAGCAACTGCATAGGCATTTGTGGCGCCTATCCTCTCATCATATTTATCAGCCCAGTCTAAACCTATCTGGACAAGAGGGTCACAGTGTGGGACATGTTGGGCCAAAAGCTTCCAGCGCTCGATAAACATTTCAAACACTGGAAATGCACTGCTCAGCTTGGGAGTGCATTTGCCTGACATGCATTGTTGGGCAGCATGGGGCACCTGATATGACACAGTCAGATGAAGTGTGAATTTTGAATATACTAACATTGACCTCTAGGATTACCTCAATGTCCTGTAAGAACTGCCACTCCATCAAACTCAGTTTGAATTTGCTGATAGAGCATTGAGTAGGAGAGTCAGAGAATAAATATATTGCCTGGGCAACTATTAGTCATGGCAGATGTTTAGTGGGTGATGTCTTACCTGGCGAAGGGTTCGCAAATGGTTAAGCATGATATAGACTGAATCCCAGTGAGTTGACTCATCAAGCAGGAGTTCGACAACAGGAAGCCGTAGTTTCACACCCACGTCATCTTGAAACCACTCCTTCTCGTTACCTGTGACAATGGTGTCCCTGAAAAAATCATGTCGCTAGTTAGATGCGCAAATTGTGCACACAACATCCCTAGCTCTGAGAATAGCTTTCCCTGACACAGCCTTGAGATACTCCACTTTTATGATAGTGTGATTGCCAATGACCCAATAGTCGGGCACAAGCGAATAGTTGGCTGTGTGATATTCTTTGATGATGTGCTTCACACATATGTTAATGATGTGGGGGAAACACGGGATTCTGCGGTCAATGGGAGGGAAATTAATCCCCCAGGACTTGAGTTTGTGTGACAGCTCCCACATGGCAACCTGGTTGTTGGAGGTATTGTCCGAGGTGAAATGACCAGTCTAAACAAAGTTAGAGCATGCTATACAGCACAACTAAACACTAACCTTCTTGGTCACACCGGCACAATCCAGAAGATACAATATTAATTCTGCTAGCAATTCTCCAGTGTGACTTCCTGGGATGTGATGGAAGGCTATCAACACTGTGTTCAAGATGAGGACTGAACTATGGTCTGCCCTAGCAATCCAGTGGGCGGTAACAGCCATGAATGGGTAAAGGTTAGAATCTGACCAGAGGTCCGATGTGAATGAAACCTTTCCCAGGGCAGCCTGAAGAATATAAGATGCTTTGCAGGGCTCTCAACAACTGTAGACCTACTGCAAGGTCCCTCTTCAAAGCATTGAAGTGCTCATGGAAAGCATCAATGACCAATTCACATATTTTAGTTCAATGAAAGACATCAGTCTCATTGAGTGATGGCCACAGAAGACAGATCAGGCAGCAAAATTCTGGGCATTCAATAACGCTGATTGCCTGAAAACAATTACTGACTATAGTATGTAGAAAGTGCACATCAACTCACCTGATCATCGGCAACAATAAATCTCATGATCTGTTTGTGCATTTTGTCCAGGGTAAAGTTAGGCAGTATGTCATCTGGAGCTAACAGGCTGGTACTGGTGAGTGAGCTAGGACTTGGGGGAGTACCAAGTGAGTCCAAGGTGTAAGACACGATGAAGCATGGATGTGCCAGTGGTTGCGCTGTAGAGACTCATGCCTCTCATGGTCTGATATGGCACTTTCACTAGGGAGTACATTACATGAACTTGCAGCACCACTTTGTGTACTATCCGCAGCTATCCCTATATGAGGTGCAGCTTTCCCGCACAACACGCACCATGTGCACACACTTCCCGCACTTCACAATGTATATGCGTGCATGCTTTCCCGTGCTTGAGTGCCCTATAGCACCAGCCATCCAGAAGCATCCATCCACTGTCCACCAAGCTCTCTAGTGTGTGTATTTCCATTTCCCTTATTTGCATATCATTCCACCTTTATTTTTATCATGGACCCTTACTTATATATATCTTTACATACCTTACTTGGTAGCACTTCGGCTCCGCATGACGGCGCTTAGGCGCCGTATATCAGCGCCAGCAGTACATACCATGACTGACTTCTCACCAATCATTCCACTAATTTTTACCTTACCCAACTTTACCTACCACTTACTACCTAGAAAGTCACAGTAGAAATCTATTCCTTTACATCTTGCACTCTCATCTCTTATCTTGCATCATACCATCACTTAAGCTTAGTCTCTCTCAATTCCGCATACCTGTGTGCACTTTCCCGCACTTCGTGCAGCATGCGCACACATTCCTGTGCCTTGTGTGCACCTGCACTTTCTTGCGCTTCGCTTCAGCACATACTTCTAGATCCTTGCTGCACTCGCTTCCCCTTTAGGGTCGAACGCACTTGTTGTCTCAAGTATAGCAGACTAGGCAACACATGACCTTACAACACTTATAGATACAGTCTGGAGCCTTGTTCGCGCCTCGCTGTGTTGTAGTTTCTACAGCGCTCTGCTTCTTCCAAATAAATAATGGTATGCTCATTAAATGTGTGTCCAATGACCTGTAGTGCCTGTAGTAGCAAGGTATGATACAACAGCATGAGTATTGTCACAAGTGTGGATTTCTCTTGCAAATTATGTTAGAAAAAACAATAGACTGCAGATACAATACTCACTCGCAGGCTTTACAGATTCTAGACTGAGTGACAGGGTCCTGTCTGTAGAAGAAATGAATGTCAGCAGAGGATTTAGGTGGTTTGGCTTGGCCACCAGTGGCCAGAGGGTCAGTTCTGGCGGTATTCATCGCAGTCTGGAGTGGACTAGGGTATGCAATAGGCGTTACTGTGAGTGCAGGAGGGTTGGCCACTTCGTCTTCCTCATCATTGGAGATGTTCTCGAAGTGAAAGGATTCCCCTTTGTCTGCAGTGGGACTTGAACCATTATCTCTGAATCCAACAGGAAGCTGATGACATCTTGGGGGATTTTGAAGCATGGATGCATTCGCTGCAGCAGCAATGGGAGCGACAGCAGGAGTTGCAGTAAGAGGAGTGGCAGCAACAGGAGCGGCAGTAATGGGAGCAGGAGTGGCTTTGGGAGCAACCTGGGAAGTGTTCTTCCGTTGAGGAGGTATGGTTGTGCTGAAGGATCTAATGTCAGAATTACCTGTCTATATAGGTTTTTACCATGGGAAACCCCAGAGCACGCCAACATGCAGTGATTGCGAGTCCCTGATGGAAAATCCATAGGTGTCGCTAGTGAAGTAGCCTTGATGTTTTAATGTTATATGCGAGTCAGATGAGTGAGAGCCTTGAGGAGCAAAAAAACTAATGTGATTTTGAGATAGGGACTTACTAGAGGCGATTGACTCCATCAGAGGGCCCAGAGGCTCTCTAGATCACAACAGAATGGATGGGATAAGGTCCTTGTGCAGACAGTGGGTGACTGTGGCCCATGGGTGACCGTGTAACTGAATGATCAAGGAAATCAGAAATCAGATCCTCATTTTCAGGCTTAATGACTCTTCAGAAAGTCACCATGAGTCTCTCATTGCTGAGTTGCACTGCTGCCTGCAGCATGTTGAAAGATAAGAGGTTGCAGAGATGGGGTTAGTGATCTGCGTGTGCGATGGCAATACACACACCAACTGACCAGCTGGTCTCCTAGATTCACAACAGTGTCAAGGTTAAATTTTTGGTTGTGGGCAAGGAAGATATGATGCAGTGATGGCCCAAGGAGATCAAGAACTAGAGTGTGATATGCTGACTCCCTATCAAACCAAAGGGCACAGGGAATCCCAATACCACCTTCAAGGTTTTTCAAAATGCGGTATTCACGCTGCATGGAAGATGAGTGGTTGATAGGTTCAAGCTTGATGGCGACTGCGTTATCCTTGATGATATTCTGTGCATGATACACAACAGCTAAATGTGGTCCAAATGTTGAATCAACATGTAGTCAGTGATATGGGAATGACATACTGTACAAGCCAGACCCCAACATATCTCCCAGCCTAAACCTTCCATCAACTCGAGTAGGGACCTTATCCATGATGTATACAATAGCCTAAGTAGAAAATAACGTGAAATCAACTAACTGAGAGGAAAGCGATTAATATTCTGTCACCCAACTGCCACTTTTGCATTTTGGCCTAGACTGGCTTGAGCCAGCTTAAAGCAGTTCAAGCCAAGGTTCACACATTTTTGGTTGAAACCAGTTTGCATGGCTTACAAATTGGACCAAGTCACTAATCAGTGGCTTGGCTCATGATAATTGCCAAACTTCTGGCAAACCAGTGTAGAAACAACAATACTGCGAGGCGCAAACGAGGCTCCTGACTGTATCTGTAAATGTTGTAAGGTTGTGCATTGCCTAGTCTGCTATACTTGAGACAACAAGTGCGTTCGACCCTAAAGGGGAAGCGAGTGCAGCAAGGATCTAGAAGTATGTGCTGAAGCGAAGCACAAGAAAGCGCAGGTGCACGCATCTGTAAGATATTGTCAGCATCATCAAGTTGAAAGTAAGAAAATGAGACTCACCATGGTAAGGGTAAGTGCAATGGTTTTGATGGGCATTGGGTTGAAATCAAATGAATACCTTGAAAACAAGGACCAAAAAGACCGAACCCATTTTCAATGACTCTGCGTAGCCAGTACCAGTTCTGGATCTCTGCCTATCTTACTGTAGACAGAATGTAGAAAGACCAGGGTAAGCACTCCTCATGGATGGTGCCCGGATCTAGTTGTGGCACAGCACCCAGTAACTGTGCCCAGTTTGAGTCTAGACCAGGCCATTGAAAAAAACTGTGCATACAATGAGGCAAGCCACACAAGACCAGGGTGAAACACTCACCTACCATGTCGCAGTGCTGTACATTTTGTGGCAAGGAGTTCCCTATAAGGGGGGGCATCAAGAGACACATAACTAACTGCTATAGAGACTCATGCCTCTCATGGCGTGATATGGCAGTTTCCACTAGGGAGTACATAGCACAAACTTGCAGCACCACTCTGTGTGCTATCCACAGCTATTCCTATATGAGGCGCAGCTTTCCTGCGCAATGTGCACCATGCGCGCACTCTTCCCGCTGTAGGGATTCATTTCTGGCTGGGCTTGTAGAGACTGTTTTTACCTTACCTTATGTTGGCACTTTTGTAGCTTACATAAGCAAGCAATCTTTTCACCAGTTACCAGTATGGATCTGAGGGCTGACCAAGTTTCTATGATATTTCCTCTCCTCTGAGCCTTAAGCCTAGTCCAGAAACCCTTTAGGGTCGAATAGCAGCTATGTTCTGCAAGACCCAACATTGTTCAGACTCACCATCTGAATTGTTGTACCTTCACCGCGCTTCGCGATGTATATGCGCGTGCATGTTCCCGCGCTTGAGTGCCCTATAGCACCAGCCATCCAGAAGCATCCATCCACTGTCCACCAAGCCCTCTAGTGCATATATTTCCATTTCTCTTATTAGCATATCATTCCACCTTTATTTTTATCATGGATTCTCACTCATATATATCTTTACATACCTGCTCAGTAGCGCTTTGGCTCCGCATGACAGCGCTTAGGCACCCTATATAAGCGCCAGCAGTACATACCATTACTTACTTACCTTTTCACCCAACTTTACTTACATACTTAATACCTAGAAAGTCGCAGTAGAAATCTATTCATTAGCACATCGCATCTCACATCTCTTATCTTGCTTTATATCATTACTTAAGCTTAGTCTCTCATTTCTGCATACACATGCGCACTTTCCTGTGCTTCGCGCAATACGCGCATGCATTCCCGCGCCTTTGTGCCTTGCACGCACCTGCGCTTCACTTCAGTGTGTACCTCTAGATCTTCGCTCCACTCGCTTCCCCTTTAGGGTCGAATGCACTTGTCTCCTCAAGTAATGCAGACTAGGCAACACACAACCTTACAACTATTTTTAGATACAGTCAGGAGCATCATTTGTTCCTCTCAGTATTGTTGATTCTACACTGCCCTAAATGTAGAAGTGCATGGAAGTTAACGATCAAAGAAAAAGACTCAGAAGTCACCACACCTTCAACAGTGGAGATCGACGATGAAGTCACTGCACCTTTAATGGAGATCCACAATGTTGGCAACTCATTTTCCCCACTTTGCCGCTCACAGTCCAACTCTTTTGATGCTGATGAATATAATTTGGCAGCATCAAAAAGTTAGTGTGTGATGGTCAAGCCCGAAAAAGGATCAACACACTCACAAACTGTGAATGGCAGGCAATGATTTGGATCAGTATGACTCAAGCTCGAAGGAAGATCGACACTCACAGGCTACCACCACCATGCACCTTTGTGGAATTAAACAACAAGGTGCTTCATTTGTGGGACTTGAAGACAGGTGTTGTGTTGAAGAAGACCTTGCATGATTTTGTTTAAATAGAAAGAACAAGAGAATAAACAAAAATCACTGTGCACCTAAATATGAAAATTTAAATAAGAAACAGGCAGCTGTCTCAGGCAGAGAAGTTAGAACATCAAAGTTGAGGAAAAATTTCGAACATACGTGAGTGCACCGTCACATGAACAAACATATACAAATGTTGGAATTGAAAGTTTTCCAACCTGCTGGGTGACAAATCAGTGTGGCCTGTGTACCTCTCTATTGGCAACATCACAAAAGACAAATAGTGGGAAACATCAGCACGAGTGACGGTCTTGATTAAACAATATTTCATAGCAACAAGGTCTACACTTTGAATTCTCTGTCTATGGCGTACCTGTTCAGCACTGCCCATGGGAATGCAGGTCACAACTACATTCTGAGGTGCACAGGTGAGTCATGTTGTTGAATCCTGGTTTCACAGTGACCTGCTCATGCTCACTTGTCAGAATCACAAATTCCCTACTTGAGCCATGGCTTAGGCCAGAGCCAGGCCAAAGCCAATTGTCATTTGTGACTTTGGCCCAGCTTGGATTTTTTGCAGGCCAGGGCCACAGTCTTTGGACCAAGCCAGGTCAGAACATCACTGCTGCAGTGTCATCTCATTCCAAAGATAGAACAATTTGTTGACCACGGATGGACCAGTACAAATGTCTATGAGTTGGTAAATAATTTTCACTTAAATACATACCTTTATCGACCTTGATACATTATGCATGTCCACTATCAATTAGTTTTGTTACTACTTAGCTACTATCAACTACAAACTGAAATTTTGCTATTGCAACTTCAGTTTACTACCAGCGCCCACCATAGCCTCCTGTAGCCCACTGTAGCTCTATATAGTCTGAGTTACAGCTATGTGAGGTACATAGACCCATGGTGACTATATAGTACTATATAGGCATCACCAGGACTGTTACAGTCACTATGAGAGCACACGACACACGTCGTAACAAGGACTCCTACAATGTTTTTTCCTGATGTCTGGGTATTATTGTTCTCCAATGTCAGGAGAGAAAGTTCGAGCAATGGAGTTTGCATTGGTCAGTTATGAATATTGATTAATGGTCCCGGTCAGGCCTCCAGCTGCTAGACTTAGTGTCTTTTGCAAGCAACAATTCAATATTCCTGCACATACCCTCATATGTCGGACGCATATGAGAATAGTGAACAGGTATTGGGCATCTGACACAGGAACAGGTGAATCACAAATTGACCTATGTATCCTATTGCTCGCTCGATAGATTCAATATCATGATACATCCTTCATACGTACATATCTTATATACTACTATACCATCCACGTTCACATTTTCATTCTAATCCTCTACTATTCAGCATTCCTTTCTCCAACTAAGACTGAGTTGTCTCTTCCTTGTTTCTAGTCTGAGCCTTTTCGCTCCTTAATTATCTTGTCAGATCCTGCGCAATTCAGACCAAAATGCGGGGCAGTCTGTAACATTTGCAAAGGGACATGGGGAGTATGGAACACATGATGTAGCATTGGAGACAGCACTTATACATCAGAGATAGGTCTGTGGCTCAAGGTTACCACACGGTGTCATGCATGGTATGTGATTCATACCATGTCAGATATATATAGAGAGTGATAAGGAAGATATGAGAGACTGTCTAGCCCTCTATTACTGAGTTACTTCTCTATTTTTTCCTTTGATTCATTGTCTTGTATTTTATTTCTCACTTTTCAGGCTTATTTTACCTTGTATTTGTATCAAGCATGTGACCTCCTGTTTATTTCTCATTGTTTATTTTTATTTGGCTCCTTTCAGCCACCAAGTTTTGTATCTCTATTTGTTTCTGACTGTTTATTTTTATTTGGCTTCTTTCAGCCACCAGCTTTTATTTGTCATCACATCATGTGACTGGGAAATATTCTGGTTTGTAATATTATTTAAGCTGACTCAACATGTTTGGTCATGATTGGTCATGCTTTGTAACAACATTTAACATGACTCAACATGTTCAGTCATGGTTTGTCATGGTTTGTAATTTCTTTGTAAGATTACACTGTATTTGTGATGTACTTAGTAATAAGCTGAGTCATCACCTGGTTTGTAAGCCACATTCTTACCAATCCATCTGATAAACCATGCTTAGTAAGGGGGTTCCCAAAAGGTATAAAAGGACCCCATTTTCACCCATGAAATATAACTTCCCATTTTTCATTCTTCTCTCAAACTGTGTGAGAGTATGTAAGAATAAAAGTGCAGGCACAGTGCCTTGAAGTAAGACTAAGACATATCATTATTCTACTCTAAAGTTATATACTACCTTACAGGGGTTGACTATATAACCATTAAACAGCTCTCATTCTAAAGCTTTACGTGTATACAAAAGACTCTCTCTTTCAATGGAAAGTGAGACACATATCTAAGGACAACAAAGTTGAAACAGACTTTCATAGGTTGAAACATGACCTACTAGGCTGAAACAAACCTAACAAATTTATCCAGAACACAGAATGTTCCACAACATTTTGTATAAGAATACACAAGAAGAGGACAACAAACTAAATCCTCCCAAGAACTCACCACATTACCTCCCACAAAGTAGGAAAGTCGGAGACCATGGACTTAAGGACTGGCAAAAAGTCTTCACTGTGTATAATTATGTTGTCATTATACACAACTTTATACAAGACCCTTAAGTAACAAGACAGCAGAAGCACATGGGGAAGTATCCATAGAGCATACATGATAACTTGAAGATAAGCTCACATATGAATGAATCTGTTATAAGCGAGTTGAGGAATGCCATTCAGGTTGGAAATAGAACCAGTGCATTGGTCAATGGAAGGGGAGGGCCAAAGGTTTGTGCATACATCGCAATTCTATACATCCGAGTCAAAGGAGAAAAACAACAAGTGCCAAATAAAATGGACTCTGGATCATCTTTATGCTGCTGCATATCCAACTTGAGGTGGACTGACAGATTGGTTATCTGCCACAGTTGACCAAGTATAATGTATGTTTCAAAGCCAACAATCATGGTGCCCCTCTGTTTGGATATAGGAAAGCCTCGATGGAACTGTGGAAGATGCAGCATGCACTTCAAGTTCATCTGGCACCACCAGTGGTGATACTTGGAGGACAAAAAAAGACAAGTAAAAATGAAATGGACAAATGAATGGAAGTATCATGTATCCTCTGCCAATGCACATGCAGGCTTCAGCCTTGCATTTCAATATTTGGTGTCATAATAATGGAGGGGGCCTTCCAAATCTTTTTTTGCTGGTCTCCTGTTTTTTGCTTGCAATTTACATGACTTTGGTCAAAAAATTTACCTCTTGGCTTGCCATATATGGTAGTGCACATCATGTGACCCTGCCTCCTGCTGCAGTTGGGATGCTGCGCACACACAGCGAGAGGATGAAGTTGTGAGGGAACAAGGCCAGATGACGGGAACTTGAAGGAGCAAATGGAGGTGCTGGTGGGAGGCAAGTCTGGGAATGAACGAAAGGCTTGAGCATTAGAGCTAGGGACATGTGTCAAGGATGTACAGTATGGGGACAGCAGTACTAGTAGGTAGTGTAACAAGCTCATTGAGATTAGTTAGAATTGGATGAGACCTATGAGACTTGACCTGAATTAACAAGGGACAATGGCTTTGAATGTGTGAGCCATCTGTCCTGCATCCTGGGCAACAAAAGGGAGGGAACTTCAAAGTGTGTTGGTGCTGAAAGAAAGAAAGAAAAAGAGTCTAAAAATCATCAGCGCAGATTCAGCTGGCAGAGTGCAAGAAGTATAACTCACTACTTTCAAGGGATGATATCCCCACACTCCTTTTTCATGCGGTTGATTGCCTGAAGCAAAGCTGTGTGGCCCACAGTGGCCTCTGGATATGCGGTGAGGAATGCAGGCTCATGTCCATTGAACCTAGTAGTGTGTGCATGGAATGATGATGGGTGGGGATGAGAGCAGTTTGTGTGCCTGAAAATTGCGAAATCAACTCCCACTCACTGGTCGAGAAACTCCAGTGCGATCACTAAGTGTTGGTGGTACTTCATTGCAAAAAACTTCTTGTTCTTCCCATGGATCCACTCAGGCAGCCAATCTCAAAGTGGAAGTAGCAATCCATGCTTGGGGTTACCATCCGTCCAGTGCTTCATGATCTGTCTCCAAGAGGCAGCTCTTGGGATGTGGGTCCCATCAGGATGTCATGTTGGGACATCAGGGATGATAAGTCCCTTCTCAGGTAGTACTAGTGAGCGGGAACCAACTTGAATGGTGGCACTGTCTGTGATTCAAGTGAGTGCAGAGTGCTGTAGGAGAGTGGAGGAGGGAATAGCAGGGTAGCATGGCTAAGACTCAGAGCTGGGTGGCTGGGATCCAGATGAGTGATGAATAATGCAGGGGTTGCCTAGGTTTGACAGCAGAGTTGACGAGTGTAGAGCATTGCACATGCCTGTGCTGCTGAGTGAGTTGGGCAGGTGAGTCAGCTGCCCATTGTAGAGCATGGCTGTTAGGGTGTGTAGGTCACTCCGCAGACCTGCAACATCAGCTGAGATGCATTCATGCATCAACTGCAGGTCCTGGATGTAAATGGGCTTGACAAGCAAGTGCTCTCAAAGCAGAAATGCATCAGCTTCACACTATGTTAGACAGAGGGCATCACTATGGTCATTTTCATAGGTGGAGAGCTCATCAAGGAGATACCAGGTGAGTGTGTCACGCTAATTGAAGTAATTCATTGTTAGAAACAGAAAAGTTTGAGTCAGTCTAAGACTCACATTCTCATTCTCTGCCCATGAACCCCACCACCTGACCCTCACGAAAGTCCAACATTAACTGATAGGTGTGCACATCCAATGCCACTATGCACCATCACATGAATAAGTGTGGGTTGTGAAGTTATCACCTGCACCTCGTGGGATTCCTGCTTCTGTGGTTGCTTCATCAATCCATGCTTGAATAATGTCATGTGAGACAGGTCCACCACAGTGGACAATGCCATTTGCACCTATTGCAGGAAAGATATAGTCTTTGGGCTCAAGTTTTTGACCATAATGGGCAACTTCGAGAAAGGTAAGCCAGAGTAAAAGCCAGAAGAAGCAGTTGCAGCCTGGTAAGTCTGGCTGTGGATAGAGCTTGTACCGGTTGCCTGATGATAAAAGCAGTAGGAGGTTAATGTTTGAATTATGAACCAACAACTGGTGTAATTAGGTACTCACTCTGTAGGTCTATTCCTTCATGCTCTTGTCTACTCTCTGCTGCCAGCCCTTTCGGTTGGACAAAAATACCTTGAAATATATGTGGAGGTGCTTTGAGCACAGCTTCTCACCATTCAAATATCTTGTGAATGTTGTGCCGACTTGGAAAAAATTGATGGTCAAGTCTTTCCATTTCAGTTTGATGAGCTTGAAGCACCTGCCATGGGTTGCTTCAAAATTCAGCAAGCAGTCTGTATTGAGTGAGCTGACCTTGTCCACAGGTTCCAGGCCATTGTACTAAATGCTTGGTACATCACCATCTTTGTAAGCAATTCATGCAATTCCAGTGTAAGAAGTTCTGTGCTTGTTGTATCTGGTGCCAGAACTGACCTCATAAGCCCAAGTAATGTCTCTGGTGGGCAGAGTTTGTGGGTCCAGGCCAGGATTTGATCCATGAATCCTTTCAACATTGCAATGGAGTGAGTTCTGTCTCCACCCTCGCTGCTGTTCATGTGCTTGACAGACTTGATGATGTCTTGAACCTCAGCTGACGAGGCAGGGTTTCCTTCCCAGCACAGACGTGCCTCATTGAAATGCCACCCTCCACAGTAGGTATCTCCATCCTTGGATGACACATTCCATCGAAAACCATAAGTATGAGACTCACTGACACAAATATGGCATTCACACTTCCTCCCAGAATTTTTTGAAGGCTGAGTAGGACCTGTCACGTGTGCTCTGGCCACAGTTCTCATGGAAACACTTGAAGGAGATGAGGAGTGCGAGGGCCTTGTCAGAATGTTGGTTGGGCATGCTCTCGAGTGCATCTCTGAATGTGGGATTCTCATAGGCATCAGTCCTGATAGACACAGTCTCCAAATCCATGCTTGCCATGACCCTCCTGCTAGTAGCGAAATGTGCCTTCAACCATGTCTGTCCTCATTCCACATACCCATTGTAGCTAGGCATTGGCACGGGTACGGGTATGGGTACCTCACGGGTACAGGTGCGGATAGCATCACTAGGTACCCATGACCCATTGAATCCAAAACAGGTAACCAGCAGAGACGTCTCACAAGTGTCTTCTATTATGTTTGGCAAGCGAGTCACCAAACTGACAGCCAAAGCTGCCCAGGCCATCGCTGAAGGAAGCAAGACGCTAAAACAGAAGGCAAGCGGTATCAGTACCAAGGAACAATCAAAGAAATTGAAGACTGCACCTTCAACATCAAATGAATCTATTTTCACCTCATCTCTGAGCCCCCCCGAGCCTCTATCCTGGCAAGCCTCCATCCGCACGGAAGAGGAAGAACAATTGTTGCATGGTGATTCCATCATCATCGACTCTGACATGGAGTCGATGAAGTCACAGGCAAGTCGTGATGTCATCGAATCCAATGCTGAGTCTTCAGATGTGGAACTCAGTGCATAGTAAAAATATATCTAATCCCTGCAACAACTGACACAAAAATTATTCTCGAAAGAAAGATTGCAAAAGGGGTGGACATCACCAGTCTATGCATTTTTTGAACCAGTTCCTAGTATCGAGTACACTGGTAGCCGCCGTGCGCACATCTTCAAGTGCATAGCTAAAGGCTGTTGGCAGCATGTCTGTTGCTATCTTGACAAGGGAGATGCGAAGTCGACCAGCAACATGGTGAAGCATGTTAGATCCTGTTGGGGTGACATGGCATATGAAGCTGCAAAAGAAGCAAAAACAGCAGTGTCAGCATGTGAATCCATCATCAACAGTATTCTTAAGACTGGCTCGACCACAATGTCATTTGAAAGGAAGGGAAAGGGTAAGGTTACTTACTCACACAAGCAACATACCAAGACAGAGGCAAAGTGAGTGGACTAACACACATCTCATAATAGCAAACTTACAACAGATGGAAGGGCCGAGTTCATGTGATGGGTTGCAGAGAGCTTGCGTCCATTCGAAACAGTCCATGATTGAGGCTTTGCATCACTGATGAAGACTGGATGGCCGGAATATTATATTCCATCACCGTCAACAGTCTCCCATGATGTGAAGCTAGTATTTGTAAATGTCAGAAAATGTATTGCATGCATGCTGCAAACTTACGATGGGGAACTGAACTTTGCCACAGATGTGTGGACTTCACTGAATCACAAAGCATTTATAGCTGTGTCGGTTCACTTCGAACACAATGGCGAGCCACTTGCAATACTACTTGATATCATCGAGGTTTCAAAGGTGAGTATACCATCAGTGACATGGTGCGCATCAATAACACTACATACCAGTCACACTTGGGCGTGCATCTTGCAGAAGCCTTCACAAAGATTTTAGAAGACTTTGGAATTTCAGACAAGGTAAGTGCAAAGTTTCACATTTAAATATGTTACTCATACCTGCAAAGATACTTAGTATCACCACTGATAACGCATCGAGCAATGACATGATGACGATGGCACTTGCTGAAAATGTAGCCCACTTCGGAGGAGATACCGCACGGACTCGGTGTTTCCTGCATATCGTCAATCTGGTTGCAAAAAGTCTATTGAAACAATTTGACGTACCTAAAAATGAGGCCCTAGCATTTGTTGGGACTGCAGAGGAAGAGCTGCGAGAGATTGCACAAGGACTTGAGGCTGAGGATGCAGACACCGTCGCAGAAAATGGTGCCAGTGATCCCAATGCAGATGATACTGATAATCTTGATGGCTGGGTTGACGAAGTTGGGGAGCTATCAGATGAGGAGCACAACATGCTTCAGGATGACATACGCCCTATAAAATTTGTTCTAGTGAAGGTAAGCTCTCAACAACACAGAAAATGATGCACCATGTACTCATGCATCACAACAGCTGTGCAAGCTGTCCTACAAAATTGTGCATTCATTGACACTGTTGCTGCCTGAATGGAAGTCAATCTTACCTGAACTGAAGCTTACCGTGAGAATCATGCCTCATGACATCTCTACTCGCTGGAATTCCATGTTTGATATGCTGGAGTTTGCACTCCAGTATCGGAAAGCCATCGACACCATGACGGACAAGCGAAGATTGGGTTTGGGACCTTTTGAGTTGAAAGAGAATGAGTGAAGACTTGTTGTGCAGTTGCACAATGTTATGAAGGTGAGTCACATGTCACATTGTCTTTGTCACCTTCTAATGCAAGTCATTATTGTTACTAGATTCTTAAACACGCAACACTATACTTTCACGTGGACCACCAACTCTTGCCATGGTTATTCCAGCAATGGACCACATTTATTCTGTTTTTACTGCTGGAATCATCAATCACCAAACTCTAAATCCCTCTATTCACACTGCTCTCAAACTTGCCAAACAGACTCTCAACAGGTACTATTCGCTCACTGACAAGTCAGAAACCTATCAAATCGCGATGGGTAAGTATTATTCACTTTTCTTTGTATCTATTCTGACATTCAACATCTGCTAGTTCTACACCCTCGACACAAACTTCAATACTTCAAGGCTGCGGGATGGGAGGATGAGTGGGTGACCACTGCTCACAATATTGTTCGCGCTGAGTATGAACGCTCATATGCATCACGTTCATGCCCAGCACCAGGGCCCGGGGAGAAGGTCACCGTCACTCAAACAGCCCAGGTACGCCTTGTTATTTTTTGTTACTTTTTCTCGCTGTTGATTTGTATCAATACAACAGGACAAAGATCTGAATATTTTTGACCGTTTACCTGCGCTTGCCAAGTCAACGCACCACCCAACCAACAATGAACTCGACGCCTACCTTAGTGCACCTGTCGAGGATATTGACGATGCTCTCAAGTGGTGGCAGCGACAATGTGCTACTTACCCTCACCTTTCGCATATGGTGCTCGACTACCTTACCATCCCTGGTATGTATATTTGTATTTTGATTTACCACTCATTGATTGTTTTTGCAGCTACATTGGTTGATGTTGAACATGTCTTCTCTCATGGACGCCTGCTCTTGTCGCACGTCTGCTCACAACTTTCCACTGAAACCACACGTGCATTGCTCTGTCTCAGCTGTTGGAGCTTACTCAGGCTTGTGAAGGACAAGGATGTATTACCAGTCGCTCGTTTGGCTGACGTCGAGGGTGAGGAACCAGAACTTGAGGATGGATGGGGTAGTATTGTTCTAGTGTAGCTAACAATTTGTACTAGTTCGAGTCCCTATGTTACTGTCGTTTGCCTTGCTTACCCGGGGGTATACCCATTGCAGGTACTGTACCCATCTAGACCTGTCTGACCCATTGTCGTACCTGTATCCACTGGTACCCTTGGGTATACAGGTACAGGTATATGGCGGGTACGGGTGCGGGTCAAGCTCTTGATACCCACAGGTTTACCCGTGCCAATGCCTAATTGTAGCTCTCACGTGTCTTCTTTGCATGCTTGTGCTGTTGCTTGGCCCTTTCCTTGACTTTGTTGATGGCCGGCAGGGTGGTATTGCCTGTGGGCACTGCCCCCTTCCGTCACTTCCTTGGGCTGGCCTCTGCAGCATGAGGGGAAGGAGGCCCTTTGCACAATTTTGGCTTGGTCCTCACCATGGTCAGCCTCACAGACAAACTAAGTCAAGTTTTGGGTAGTTAAGGCAAGTTAAGCAGGAGTTAAGTGCAGGACCACCCAAAGTTGGTCATAAATCTGGTAAATCTGTCATAAACTCATAAATCAGTAAATCTGAGGACCCACCGGCACAGCAGACCTTTCAGGTCACAGTGCTAAGGTCAAGTGATCCATAAATCAACCCAAGTAGTGACTTTGGTCTGAACACATGCTCACTATTATATTCAAACAGACTACTAATATTATCCACTGCATGGCACTGTCGCACCTGTTCGACAATCGGTCTTTCGACGTTGAAGGACGAAAGGGAGGCAGAAAACTGGCGGGATGGGTGTGCTTGGTCAGCAGCAGCGGGCGCAGCAGATTCCCATTTATGGTTTTTACCTGCCAAGTGTAAATTTCATCAAATAATCCACCTGTGACTCCCACATAAGGGCTGTAGTTACAGGTGATAATAAATAGGGTTTGCACCTCTAACACAAGGCAAATACAGCCAATCAGCGCCTCCTGCAATATCTTTCCAATAATGAGGGACTTTTACATAGCGCTGTAGATCCATAGGCTCTTACCGGGACTGGGTGCCGCCGGCATAACGGCAAATGCCGTGACGTGTTGCTAACGTCGTTTAAGGTCCGAGCTCGCTGTGCGACACGATGAGCTCGCGCATCTCGATATCTCGCGCCCAGATGAATGTATTGACAGCGGGTTTTGATGGCCCATGCGCGAGTGACCATTAACATACGTAGATCTGACTTATGTGTCCATAGAATGTGTAAATTAAGCTATACTACTGCTCATCGGCATGATCATGAAGTTCCAGTCGCGAGAGATCATCAGCAACACGGAGCACATCCTGCAAACTTCTGGATGCCTCCTCTTCCACCTCCTCTTCCTGCTCCTCCTCATCTAACTCATCCGGAGTATCCGGCGCCACTGCAGGTCGTCTAATGTTATCAAAAGGTAAGTGTTCTACCAGCAATTGTGATGGGATCTGCGCATTCGGCGCACTGGAGCTTTCTCCGAGACCTGTATGAGTGCTTATACCTGGGGATATTGTCCTGGTGAAGCCAGGAAGTGTCGATATCTCATGGACCCACTTTAGGTGGCGTGAGTTGAACCGTCCTCGGACGTTTCGATGTATAGCGACTTGATGGGCAAGAGTTGGACTGACAGCCTTCAACTGACCCTCGCACGCCCGCAGGTATTTTTCTTTGTCTTGGATGTATGTCACTAGGCGCCGTACCTCCACGTTCAACTGTTGAATTTCCTCCCGTGCCTGGCACATCTTGAAATACAGGTCCATCGCCCTGCGAGCAACAGGCGATGCCCAAGGCCGTTGCGACACGTCTGCACGCGTGTCACGTAAGAGGTCAAAGTCGGCTAGAAACGCGTACTCCACGACCTCGTCCCACTTAAGCGTTTTGCGGGGAGGGTGCATTGCCTCAGCGATGGCATTGTATGTGTTGAGGGCAGTTCGGATGGCGATGGAGCGTGTTTGTAATGCCTTGGCGATGTGTTTACGTAGCTTGTAGCCTTGAGTGATATTAGAATCGACACGCAAGCAAGACATCGTCTAAACAAACTCACCTGTAGCTGCCCGGTTCATCCTCGTCAGTTCAAATATGCGTGCGACGATAAGTCCTTCGAGGCGATCCAATGCACGTTGGTACTTCCTATGAGCAACGAGCCTCCCCACCCTCTGCCAATCTGCATCCTCAGGGGTCCAGCGCATTGTGATCTCGAGTTTGCGTTCGAGTGCTTGAACAAGTTTCGAATTCCTCTCGTGGTCCTCGACAGCGTGACGTCGTGCAGTCTCCGCTTTGCGAGTATCTTGCATCTGAACGTCATATGACACGGCCTCATGGTGAGAATAGACCTGAAAGGCTTCCATCGCAGCATTAAGAGCCTCTCTAAGCGAATGAAGCGTCAGTTAACACAAGACTCGTATACCTTGGAAGCTACACTCACTCGCTTGCGGTGAAATTTACCAACTTCTGCCAATACTCCATCTGCAAGGTCTCATCTTCGGGTTCTCGTGTTAGACCTTGGAGGTAGGTCTTCTCTTCCTCTAGCCAGCGCTCAAAAATGCTCTCGTCCACAAGTCCCAGATCTTGCATGAGCTTGGGTAGAGTTGTGTCGCCATCGTTCAAGATGTCCAGTGCTTGTTTGTAGTTGCAGTACAAAAAATTGGCTAATACGATAATTATGTCAGCTAATGTTCGATTTATGTACTAGCTATACTTACAAAGATTAGCGTAGACCTCAAAATCGTTGTTGTGCTCGAAATAACAGTCGATAGCCTGCTGCCGATGGAACACACTCGCATAGCGTAGCGCAGATGCCAGCGAATTCGATTTCGAGAACGTTCATTCACACGTTTCGAGATCCTCGAGGCCCAGACCCTTGATGTACGTTGTGAGTGAGAACAGCTGGCACAAGCGCCTGTGAGCATGTCTGTGGAAGGCGCCAACCAGGCAGGTGTGTTGAAGCGAACGAGCGAGCGGTCCAAGTGAGCTGTTGTCGAGTGTCGTCTTAAACTGGCAACCAATGTCATACCCACTCCCTAATCGTTTCCCGAATACATCCAGCAACTTTGCAATGACAGCAAGGGGATACTTTGCACTATTCAAACACTCGTTAATAGCTGAGAAAACGATAGGCACTACTTACAGTTCACTGCTCTGTACCATGTCCGCGACAAGTAACACAAATCTGTGACGGCAAACAGCCACAAATATACCTGTTTCATCGTATATCCCCCACGCTTTCTTTGTTTTAGCGTCGTCCATATTTTTCCATCGTCCTGCGCAAGAGTCTTCAGCGGCTGCATCTTCCTCATCACCTACAGTAGTTGTCGTTTCGGACTCTCGAGAATACCGGTCTACAAATGCACGAGGTAGGTACCGGTCACTTGTGAATTGTTGGCTGGTAGGAACTTCAGACGAGGGAGCAAGAGAGTCGTCAGTGTCATGGTCTAAAGACCTCCGCAGGACTCATTTTAGAGAGTCGTTACCGTCCATAGAATATAGCAATCTAAATGTTAGTGCTTCTTCGTCAGTGAGTTCATATGTACATGTAGGGCATGCATGTTTAAGGCGCCAGTCAGGTGAGTTGCGCTGAAGCGATTCGGCTACGAGAGCTGCCACAGAGCGTCGAATTTGAAGATACAAGTCGAACGCAATTGAAAATTGACGCGAGAGATGTCTATGAAATTCCACCTGCATATGATTAGCACAATAACTAGACAAATTAAGATAGTTACCCCATGCAAGTCGCACACGGTTTTCACGAAAGCTTGAATAGACAAATGAGGACTTCTAAGATGCGCAACACGGTATAAGTCAAGAGCTTCTGTAGTGATTCCTACAGTTGGCGATATCGGCAAACAGGGCATGACACCTTGATGCACCATTGCAGAGCAGATGGTGGCGTCGATTGGTAAGATTCGAAGAGTCACTTTCGAAGCGTCTAATACAATGAGTCACGCCGACATCAATATTAAAAGTAAGCAAACAACAACAAGATCACTCACAGAACACGTCAATAACACTAATTGACCATTCACCATAGTCCGAGTTGTTCTCCAGCTCCTCATTCCGCAATCTCTCAAAAAAACTCTTGAACTCTTCCTTGGATTTTGCCAGGCTCCAGGCAAGGTAAGCGTCGATCATCGCAGGCATCTGCTCTGTAAATGCCTGGTTTCTGCGGAGGATGCGATCACGACGAGTGCGGTTATCCACGCGTCGAACACGATTGTTTCTGTTCACGAAGGTATGTGACTCACATATCAATAGTCAACACTCACTGACACTTACATTTTCCAGAAATCTCCCAACACCTCTCTTGCAAGGTCAGTGAATTCGCCACCAGCGTGACTGATGGCAATTGATTCAGTCCCATTCCAGACATCGCCAAAGCTATCATCACAGCCTTCCTGCCAATCGTCAATGGTGGCGTTTTTGTTCTCTTTGAGTGCTTCGAGAGCACGATGCTCATCCAAACTCACGGCTTTACAAGAGGTGAGTTTTTTTTGTCGAGTATTTCAATTAACATTAGATACCTTGCAGACGTGCTTTCCATCGCTCGTTGGACCTTGCTGCCTGCTCCACCAAGTCCCGGTGCTTGAGCACCTTCGACACACTGCTGTTGACCGGCAGCCCATCTTTATTCTTCGACGGTCCAATGTGCCGGATAGATCGCAGGGAGAGCTTACTTCGAATTCGCTGGCGTCCTATGGTATTTCGCATTATCTACAAATTCTTCATGTTAGTAAGGAATATCTTTTCATTTCACGTGACTGATGATCGGTAGTGTCGCAAAGGGTCCCTATACATCATCATGTCTGCTATGTCCAGCCATCCATCAACTCGATCTGACTCCCAAGCAGGTGATCACATTCAAGATCTACAGAATTTGCTCGATCGTATGAGCCTAGCAGGTATGTATTTCTTTCAACATCCGCAAAATACTGTCTACTCACATCACTTATCATAGATTCATCGGTCGGTACTGTTACTTGGAAGCGCAAGACTACAGAAGAGTCTATCACACTCTCAAGAAACTCGTGCACGCAATCCGCGCACAACACCATTCCTGATGGACGGATCGTGCCTCTTCCTACCACTTCAACAGCTCAAACACCCTCGCATCCGGTGTCAATCCCCTCCCATGTTCCGCTTGCTCCAACCCCAGATGAGATCCGCCCACCACAAGCTGGGCTCAAGCCTGAGGGCTTCTGGGTCATCATCGTTGGGCAAGAAGTCGGTGTATTTTACTGTTGGTCAGTGTTACACGCTCTCTTTTACTTATATCTCACTTATAATCACAATGTTTATCTTAGGGCTGATGTTGCGGAACGAACACATTTTGTTAGCGGGAGTATTCAGAAACGATACCCATCTTTCCAGCAAGCTCTTCACGCATACACCGTCAAGTATAACGAACGCAGCGTCCATGCAGTTCCGATTCCGGGTGGCCCATTCTGGCCTATGAACTCGCCTGTGTCCCCAGCATCTCCCCCTCCCCCTACATCTCCCACATTGTCTATAGACTCGGATGATTTGTGGTTGCAAGTAGAAGACCTGTCGGACACCATGAGTCAATATAAATTTGAATCTACGTAGTCTAGTTTGCGAATGGTACTTATAATTAGAGTACAGAAATTGAATTTGCCTTACTCATACTATGAGATGCGGCTGATAAAGATTATGTGTTGGCCATGTGAGAGTGAGAAGGAACTTGCGGTACTGGGAAGTGAGAGTGAGAAGGAACCTGCGGTACTGGGAACGGATCAGGAGTAGATGGCTCGTACTGTTATGATGCGGCTGATAAATATTATGTGTGGTGGCCATATGAGAGTGAGAAGGAACCAGCGTGATTGAGAACGGATCAGAAGTAAGTTGTTGTTGCTGCTGCCCTTAGAGGGGTATTCCGATTGGCAAGTGCATCACATTTGCAAACGAGTATCCTAAACATCATAAATGCTCTACACTACTCAACACACATTTTTCCAGCTTCGGCTTGATAATGTATATCGTGTTCAAGTGGCTGAAGCATTCTGTGTCTTCAAATTTTTGCTATAGGGTGTTATTCACAGTCCCAAGCATCCGAGAATGAAAGTTTGCTATAAGTTTGCTATAAGTTCACCATAAGTTCACCATAAGTTCACCATAAGTTCACCATAAGTTCACCATAAGTTCGCTATTGTTCCATATACGGTCGCTATTGTTCACTATACATTCGCTACGTGACTAGGCATTCACACTGTGTCTGATGATGAGATGCTCAGAGCTACATTCACAATATGTATACTACTAGTTACAGACGGTGTCTACAACTAATTTGACTTCGAAAAATTTCACCTCTGATGTGACACTAACCAGCAAATCATATAGTAATATTGTATCGTACTTCAGGCGTTCCCTGCAACACGGGCAATGAGTGTGCACGACGTCCTTGATACTTTCCAGCAGTGATCTACCCTCTGAAGCATGCTGTGCACACTGCTCAACAAATACAGCGTGCTCCCCCTTGCTCAGGGTGCGACGAAGTGCTTCATCGTATGCCTCATTCCACATTTCTTCAGACACCCACTCCTTTCGCCACTGCCCAACGAGGATCTCAAGCATTTGCAGTGACGGAGAGTCACAGGCACACAATAAATTGTTGTCCATCGTGAGGATAGATTCGTCAGGATCGAATGAACGATCATATTCTTCATCAATCGCTTGCAGCGAGGGAGAGTTGCGAGGAGAAGGCAGGTTGGTGTCTGCGAAATAAGGTAGATCGTCATCACACTCGGAATCGTTATGGTCCAAGGTGAGCACAGCTTCGGTGGCATCATACTGAGAATGATAGTCTTCATGGTCTGAGGCAGTGACAGGCGTGTCATGCGCGTCGCAAGGTAGAACCCTTTTTTTCCTGTGCAAAAGTCGGTTAGTGAGTCTAGCACACTCCTATAGTTAGGCATTCTCACCTTGCCCTATTCCTAAAATCAATTATATAGCGCACATAAGACTGAGGATAGGTATGAACTCACCGAGCAGCTCGAATGTGAGCCTTCTCGTTTCGAGTTTCTCACACTCTGCAGTGAGGGCAGGTAAGCAGAATTCACCAGTGACTAAGGACGTTGAACTCACCCTGGCTTCGTGAGCCAGCGCTCTGTGGCTATCTGCTGCTTCGACGCGGGACTGCAGGATCTGCTCTTGCCTCAGCAAGCCTTGGAAAATATGTTAGATAGTCCAGCCTTTAACGTGAGTTTGAACTTACCATGTCGTCAAAAAAATGAAGGAAGGAGAGATGACCTGGGGTCATCCCTAGGTATATGGTCAAGATCATCAATAAAATGAGGGTTGATATCCAGGCAATATGGTTGACAACGCTGCAAGATCTGATTGAAAGGCACGGAGTAGGATTCTGTAGGATTGCCGCTTGTGCAGTCATCTTGATTACTAATTCATCTAAATTAGGGAACCATTGTAGACTGTTATAGGTCCAAGTATACTACTGCACTCAACAGTTCTGATTGCCTGCAAGCAAGATGGTAATCTTCCTGGTCCCTCCCCTCCATTCTCACCAGCCCCAGAGTACGTCGTATAAGTACATGTCAGTCCTTCAATGTTGCAGGAAGCCCAGGCCCTGGCACCTCAGTGAAACAGTCGAGTGGTGGAGTGCACAGCGCGTTCCATTTCAACCCAGGAGGCACCCACTGCCTCTACTTGGCATGCGGTGCGTTCCATTTCAACCAGGGAGGAGAATCCTACCTCCACCAAGCGCACAGCACATTCCATTTCAACCGAGGAGGATACCTCTGCCTCCACTGCCTGCATGGCACATTCCATTTCAACCCAGAAGGCACCCACTGCCTCTACGTGGCGCGCGGCGCATTCCATTTCAACTGGGAAGGTGAGTCTACATCTGCTATAGGACGATAGACCCTTCGGCTTATGGAAGGTCTGTCCGCATCCCACATAGGACAATAGACCCTTCGGCTCATGGAAGGTCTGTCCGTATCCTCCATAGGACGATAGACCCTTCGGTTCTTGGAAGGTCTGGCCACATCCTCTATAGGACGATAGACCCTTCGGCTTATGGAAGGTCTGTCCGCATCCCACATAGGACGATAGACCCTTCGGCTCATGGAAGGTCTGTCCGCATCCTCCATAGGATGATAGACCCTTCATCTGTCCGCATCCTCCATAGGACGGTAGACCCTTCGGCTCATGGAAGGTCTGTTTGCATCCTCCATAGGACGATAGATCCTTCGGCTTGTGGTAGGTCTGATCAGTACCGATCTGCACTGCCTCTGAGATGCACATGTGACCTTAGCCGCGGTTTTAATGAATATCAACCTCAAGATCTTACACTGATTCCACTGGATCTTCTCCCCCAGAAACTGGCTGGCAATGATAGGATTTTCGCGATGCGACACGCGTTGTTTATTTGCCATGGAGTCCATCACATGTCAATGCGCACATTTTTTGTTGGTTTAAACTTTGCGTCTACACTTACAGAGTTTCTGCTTATAGTTTCAAATATGAGCTACCTATATTCAGCTGACGATTTTGATGCCAACAGCAACTTTATCTCAACCGGCCGGTTTTTGGATCCACTAGCTAGAGGTGAAGATACGCCACCCGGTGAAGGTGGTAGACATATTCCCTTGATTAACAATATCGACTGGAACAATCCCTCATTGTACACCATGCCGCTTACCCATGATGAAATTGCAGCTCTCACTCGCGACATAGTGGCCACAAACCACCCCCTTCCAGAGTTGCCTCCCCCCACACATGTTGCTGGCGCGAGCACCTCCTCTGCTCGCACGCCCTCACCTAAGCCCTCTGAAATCCATGATCAAGGCCCAGTAAGTCCCACCCAGTCAGAGGTGTCGGACACCAGTCGAGAGGTGCCAGAGTTACTCCAACGCGAAGCAAACACGTCCACATGGGCAGCACGAAACCCAACGCGAGCCACCATCCGTCCTCGGACGCCGCCCCCTCGACTGACAGATGCCCAGAAGGCGTCTCGTAAGATCAAGAGGGACCAAACGACGGAGAAAAGGAAGCGCTTACATAACACTGTCGCTGAATACCTGGAGGAACAACGAGTGAAGATCGAAGCGCTCTCACGAGCTCATAGTGTGACTCCAAAGGTAATCAATGACATCATCGGGAGTCAGACACACTATCGCAATTCTCGCAAGATGCAGGTGAAAAACGCGCTTGTTCACGCTAAGTCAAAGGAGATGAACGCAGGTACGTAAAATACATTTGTTTGATGGTACCGCAAAGCTTATATCATGTCAATTAGACCTACCTGTAGGGTCTCGATATTCGTTGGTGGAGCTCCGCGAAATGGTCGCAAGTGACCCCAAGATGAAAGACTTGACGAGGGAACAAGAGGCCGCCTACATTTCAGCACTCGACGAGCATCATGAAAAAAAGTCGGTTGGTGTTCAGTCAAACAATATAGCAGCTGCGTGTGATGTTGTAGCTATGATGGATAGGATTGTCAAAGAGGTGAGTTTGCCCGAACCTGGACTACAATGAATGAAACTCATACTTTACTCTTTCAAAGCTGGACGACCTGCGAGTTCGGACTGGCGTCTATGCAACGTTATTTGTTGTTCGCAGTCACATTAACGACACAGTTCAAAGTGCGATGCATGGGACCGATAACTCAGAAGACTTCTGGGAGGACGTATACGAGCATCCTATGGCTGATTTCCTCAGGCAATATGAGCAATGGGCGTGCACCCAGAATCGAAGTGCGCATTTCACATTTTTGTATACTACCAGCCTATTCAATATCCTACAGATCTTAACGAACGGGACTCTTTGGAAATGGTACGGAAGCAGGTACATAAAATGATCATCTGTGGTCTTGGTGAGTGAGATCTTGTTTTGTACGTGCTGTCCTCGATTGACGTCGTTCGTAGTCGAGGTGACCGGAAAAAAAGATATCGGCATGAATTACCATAACTATGAAACAGCCATCGTCGAGACATACGGTGTAGAGAATCATGCCTCTCATGGCGTGATATGGCAGTTTTCACTAGGGAGTATACAGCACCAACTCGCAGCACCACTCTGTGTACTGTCCACAGCAATTCCTATATGAGGCGCAGCTTTCCCGCGCAACGCGCACCATGCGCGCACCATTCCCGCGCTTCGCGATGTATACGCGCGCGCGTTCCCGCGCTTGCGCGCCCTATAGCACCAGCCATCCAGATGCATCCATCCACTGTCCACCAAGCTCCCTAGTGCGTATATTTCCATTTCCTTTATTAGCATAGTGTTCCACCTTTATTTTTATCATGGTTTCTCACTCATATATATCTTTACATACCTACTCAGTAGCGCTTCGGCTCCGCATTACAGCGCTTAGGCGCGCTATATAAGCGCCAGCAGTACATACTATTACAGAGGGAACTTTCACCTCTCACTTTACCTAGTCCTTACTACCTAGAAAGTCGCAATAGAACTCTATTCCTTTACATCTCGCACTCTCACATCTCTTGCATCATATTATCACTTGAGTCTAATCTATCTATCATTTCCGCATACACGCACGCGCTTTCCCGCGGTTTGCGCTAATACGCGCGCGCGTTCCCGTGCCTTCGTACCTTGCGCGCACCTGCGCTTTCTCGCGCTTCACTTCGGCGCGTACCTCTAGATCTTCGCTGCACTTGCTTCCCCTTAAGGGTCGAACGTGCTTGCCACCTCAAGCATAGCAGACTAGGCAACACTCGACCTACAACATTTTTAGATACAGTTAGGAGCATCTTTTGTTCCTAGCAGTATTGTTGTTTCTACAACGGTGTATGCCTGGTGGGGTGGCCCCACGGTCTTAATTTCGGGACTGTGGGCGACATTCGCAAGCTGCGAGATGCACTGAAGGCGCGAACGTGCTACTGGACTGTTCTCTCACTGGCGGAAATCAAAGCTCACACTGCCGAACTCGAAGCGCGCTGTTCAGCTGGAGATGTTGTTCGCAAGCCGCGAAAAAAGTGTTCGGACGCTGGGGTACCTTGGAAACGTAAAGCTGCAACTAGCGCAGGTCCTAGTAAGGAGAACCAACGGACGTTGAAAAGAGCAAAAAGGAATTCTGCCCAGCTTCCTCGAGGTCCAAAAAGTGCTGAGTTTGTCCAGTCATCTGATGAAGGGGGTGACAACGACTAGTAGTAGTTTGTATTACCTTAGTCTAGTCTACAGACCAATACAACTCAGTCACGCATCTTAGTCATTGCCTGTGCACGGGCCGTCGAAACCCGTCGTCAATACGTTCATCTGGGCGCGAGATATCGAGATGCACGAGCTCATCATGTCGCACAGCGAGCTCGGACCTTAAACGACGTTAGCAACGTCACGGCATTTGCCGTTATGCCGGTGGCACCCAGTCCCGGTAAGAGCCTATGGATCTACAGCGCTATGTAAAAGTCCCCCATTATTGGAAAGATATTGCAGGAGGCGCTGATTGGCTGTATTTGCCTCGTGTTAGAGGTGCGAACCCTATTTATTATCACCTGTAACTACAGCCCTTATGTGGGAGTCACAGGTGAAATAATCTAACTTAGTCACCTTCATGACCCTTTTCGGTTGGTCACCTGACGTCATTGTCAGCATATTGCTAGACGACGTACATGATATGCGTAGTCTACTACGATATCACAAGTCTATTGCGTCTTTCACCAGCATCAGAAAAGCCTCTCCTCTGACTTTCAAATCTCATTTTCATCGATCCGCCTTCGTAATGGGAACTAACTCTAAGTCTGAGGATGAATGGCGTGCCATTTTGTCTCCACAACAGGTGTGTTCTTCATTCTACACCTTGGACATATGCTCACTCTTTGCGTCGGAGGTAGTTTAGAATTCTCCGTCAGAAGGGAACAGAGGGACCAAATACAGGGGAATACAACCACCATGACACGTCAGGCGTGTATAGCTGTGCTGGCTGTGGCACACCACTATACAAGAGCAGCACGAAGTTTAACAGCGGCTGCGGATGGCCTGCTTTCTTTGATGGTAACTTATCATTTTCGGAAATCCATCTTCTCTCTCATGGTTCATCGTAGCAATCCCTGGTGCCGTTAGTAGGCATGAAGATCGGTCGATGTTTATGACGAGGACAGAGATTACCTGTACCGCATGCGGTGGTCACCTCGGTCATGTGTTCAAAGGAGAAGGATACGACACGCCAAGTACGCTCCTTTCTATCTTGCGTATTTTTGGTCTGGGTCTTACAACCTCTACAGCCGATGAACGACACTGCGTGAATTCGGTCTCGCTGAACTTTAAGGATGAATAAAGTTTTGGTTGCGTGAATATCGTTAGAACGCAGATACAACGTGTACCATTAATGGCCGGTGATGCACCGTCGATTAGAAATTGAGCTTATCCAGTATCTCACCTGAGGAAGAGGACATCGAGAATAGTCGAATCTCCTCAAAGACGGCTTAATCTCTATAACATAGCTGAATAACGAACAGCTGTATTATGACATACTTTGATAATAAGAATGCATGGATAAGCACAGGAGCTGCACACCTCGATAAGAACGTCCAGATAGGCCAATCTCGGAGTACTGCTGCAAATGGACGAATGAAACCCTAGATTAAGACCTAAGTATAGAGTCAGCCACAGGAAACAGAAAGGGTACACGGGATCGGGCGGTGTACAAATGATGCGATTGAGAATCGAGAAGCACAAGGAACAATAACTGGTAAGGCGAGTGATCAAGCTAGTACCAGCTTCATCTTGTCGATGAAATTCTGCGGGAAACGAGGGGTCATCAAAGGGGGTGACTTAGAATCAGTGGTCACCGACTGCCTAGTATTGCTTCACGCGATTGTCACGCGGTTGATGAAAAGATAAGTAGCAAACAATACATCTGTGGTCCTGTTTGTCGAGCTAAAGAAAAACACGATGTCCATTTGTGAATGTCAACTGCATAAGCAGCCCCACACAGTAGTGCCAGCTGATGATGCATACAGCATTGACTTGGATGGATCAGTGCATGAGGCGTGGAGTCAGGTGCCAAACTTACAACTTATGTAATCATGATGACTACGAACCCCCTAACGCTTCAGCATGCAGGAACTTACGAAGAACAAAGAATGTCGGATCGCGAGATCAGCCAATAGATTTGGGACAAGAATTTATTCGGTTAAATAATCAGACAATATTCCTGGTAAGAGAATTATGAGAATGTCGTGTAGGAAGGTCGTGACCACGCAGTGCTGGCTGTGGTATGAGATAGTCAGGATCGAAGCTCTATATGGAGAGCGTACGAGACATGAAGAAACAGATCACAGTGACTCCATGTTAGCAACCATGTTGTCCAGTTCTGCTTGCGACTGCTTGTACTTCTGTTGCATTTCCTGTGCAAGTGTCAGTTGGCATTTTCAACAGCATAAAACACATCGAGATACCTCGAACTTCTTCTCCCATTGATCACGCTCTTGTTCGATCCGTTGAACTTGGCGTTCGAAGTGTTCTGCCTTGACGTCCACTTGTCGCAGCCTGAACAGGTAATCAGTCGTTGATAACAGAGAAAGATGGTAGCCACAACGTACTTCTCCATCGTTTCTTTCACGTTCTTCTCAGCGGCATCAAGTTCCTCCTCCAGTAGTGCAATCTTTCTCGTAAGGTTCTCGTTCGTGCTCTTCAGCGATTCTCCCTCTTCCTGTGAAGCCTTGGCTTCTGCAAGTTTCGCGTCTACCTTGTCAAGCTCCGCCTCAAGAACAGAGATCTTGTGAGACATCGAAGTAATCTCCTGATCCTTTTCAAGGATCAGTTGATCATATTTCTTGTTCTTAGCTTCTGCATCTTCGGCGCGGGTAACCGCATTGTCTGCCTCAAACCGCAGCTGGTTCATTTTCTACAAGCGCATGTTCAGTAAGATCGTATGTACGCAAACGATCACTGCCAACCTCTTTAATCTTCTCCATTGTGTTTGATGGATGTGCAGATGGTATAGACGATGATAGCGGTGAACGAAGAGGAAAACCGACTTGAACGGGCACTTTGCTGGGCACTGCCAATAGCCACAGTCAGCTTAAATGGGATGATACCGTGGGAAACGTGGATTCGACCATAAGCACTTGCCTTTTCCAATCATGATAGGACAATTCTTGGCAATTGGAAACCAAGCTGGTTTGCTGGCGTCTCTGTTCCTTGAAGAAATACAATCAGTATCTCACGTACTCCACGACGAGCAAGAACTGTGAATCTTACAGATGAGCGCACCGGTCGCGCAAGAGGGCAAGTGGCAGGTGCTACTTTTGATCCTGAGCTTCACTGATCTCTTATATCTCAGAACTACCGATCCTCGAGGCCGTGATAAAGTGAGTCTAGTGCGCGCTCTTATTGCTACCAGTCCAACAAACCCTTGCCCACCGCAGCATACGGAACCGGCTTACTGCCCTGAAGAGGGACCGTGCCGAGTTTATCAAGCCGTCAGATGTGAATGCCCTTTACCAGGCCGTCGTTAAACAAGGTGGGTATAATTCTTTCTTTCTTCCAAAGTATTGTTTATCTCATTTTGGATACTTATCTTCCATAGTCACAAAACTCAACGATGTCCGTGATGATAACACGACCTACAACAATCGAGTGGATACAACACTGGCCGATGTGTTCAGCCTCCTTTCCTTGTGTTATCTTACATTGGGGCGAACGAAGGAATGTCCCGCTGTATACTCACAGCTGGCCTCCATGAGGGTCAGTATTCCATCTCTTCACTATCTCATCACGGGTGGTGTGCGCCCTGTGTTGCGGAGACCCAGCCGGCCATTGTCTACCGCATTCCATTCTGTCTCCATATCATCACACATGCGTCTACTGTATGAAGATCCGTGCTGATTGTTATTTATCACGCACAGCAATTACTCAGTCATATGGAAGAATCAGGAGTCTACAATGAATCAGACCTAGCTCCTTTCCAACGGAGACTAAGCGAGCTACGCCACATAGTACAACAAGATGCTGAGAGTAGTAAACACCCCGAAGCTATGACAAAGCTCCTGGAGCGCCAGTTTAATGAATGTGGTGCGCCTTCATCTCCGAATATCCTTTCTAAAGTCGCTTAATGAATGCTGCGGCTCTAAAGATGTTATCATGCGATCACTCCAAGGTTCTCTGTCGGTGCTCTCAGTAGAACTGGTTCCCATTCATGAACGCCTCGTCACGATTCGGAGACAACTAGTTGCGCTGGCTGCCAAAGAGGGTTCACACAAAGCCGAAATAAAGTCTCTGGCTGAGGAACTGCGCAAGATCGATTCGTGAGTGCGCCATCAACTAGACTACATCTTTTGTCTTTATCACCTTCACAGAAAACGTGTCGACGGGAAATTCCTTGGCCCAGGAGGAATTATGCCAGCTTCTCAAGCACTTTGCACCTCCCTCATCGAGGAATGCTTCGACATTCTCCAGCAAATTAAAGCGCAGGACGAGTCAAAGAACGTAGCGTCTTCTCTGAAGCCCATTCATGACCGCCTGAACCAGCTGCGTGCGGAACTGGAGAACCTTGTCCTCACGCATAGATGGAGTCTCCGTGAGACAGATCTTTATAATTATTCGATGAGCCTACACGAGATCGACAAGATGCGTATCGATGGCAAGTTTGTCGATACAGAGGGTAACAGGCCACCAGGACAGTATGTGAGTGGTGTTTGTACTCGTCGATGTGCAACTATTCATACATGTGCAGGTCCTACTGTACTTGCTGAGACGGTGTTATGGTCTTATCTACCGTCTATTATCGTCGAGCGAGCCGGTATCGGAGGAACTCATCCCCATCGTGCGTCTTTCTCCCATCTGCCCTCGATTCTGATTCTCATACATTGCATGCAGGCCAATAAACTCTCCACAGTGAAGAAGTGTCTTAATGAAGTATACAAATTTGGTGGTCCGTTTACGCCCCGGGACCTCTACCCCGTGAGTTTCCGGTCCTTTGATTATTTTGGTGTCAGGGAGTTCATTTTTCATAGTATCAACTGGCATTGCACCAGATCGACTCCATGCGGAAAGACGGCAGATTCGTGGGCGTAGGTGGAAATATTCCCGAAGGACAGGGTATCGTCATGGCACACCTGAACGAGTGTCATGAACTACTAGAGATGGTGCGTCTTGGTCTTGTTGTACTTCCTAGAACAGTAATACCGACGAAGCACGTAATATAGCTCAAGGAGTCCATGGGCGAAAACGAGGATGATCAAGATTATGACGATGAAGATGAG